AACATGGATGAGCTTGAGGACATTATGCTGAGTGAAATAAGTCAATCACAGGACAAATATTGTATGAGCCTATTACTGTAAAAAGACAAAGGTTTGTTTAAGGAAGGGAACTCACATTATAGGTTGCTGGCAGGGGAGAGAAGGAGGGAATAATTTTGGGCTAATTGGGCATCACACGCTGAGGTGGGTAAGGGGAGGGATGGTATGGAAAGTGTCTGTAACCACCATAATAACATTGGGGAAAGGGAGGACACAGAATTGAGCACATAAGATATAGGTGACAGAGGCTAATAACTAGTATATCCATGATACAGCATTACCATTAACACCAAACACCAGGCTACAGATAAACACATAAATATCTGAGGAGATCAGATGGGGGTCAGTGAACAGGATTATAGTCTAGACCAAGGATGATTCAGCTGAGGCTAATCTTGCACAGATATCATTGATAGAAAATACCCCCAATCCTTACGGAAACAACAGAAGAAAGACATAGCACAATGCCGCACAGCCAGCCAGCAACTGTGGAAGAAAGATTCAGCAGATGTACCAACTCAGGGCCATGGTATTGGGGGATACCAGATTCAATTGGTAAAACAAAATACATAAAAATCTTGTTCCACAGCTTACGTTGTTGAGTAGCAACTGGGGTCTTAAAAGCTTTCAAGAAGCCATCTAAGATGCAGTCTTATCGTCAGAAGCAAAGAAGAGTGCAAAAAACCAAGGGCCTTTGGAAACAATCAACCCTAGGACATGATGGACCTTGAGACCAAAAGAACTAGATGGTGCCTGGCTATCAATGCCAACCACTTGGGAAGGGATCAAAACTGGAGATCCTAGATAGAGTGAAAGGAAAAAGGTGGAACAAAATCCAAAAACACAGTAATGACCAGAATTACTGGTTGGATGGAGACTGGTGGACCTGCACTACTGTGGCCCTGGGATACACTCCGGGCCTGGAATAAAACTTACTTCCAGGGGCTGGCTCTCAGCCCAGTAGTAAATAAGACATGCACACAGAGCACTCAACCCTGGGTGATGCACCCACATACTGTGTGGAGATGCATCCCTTGGAGCAATTGACCACGGGGAACCAAAAGGGCAACATTCCCATGGAGGAAATATAGGGCACACAGGAGTGCCTAACTATGAGAGGGACACCGGTGGGGTTACTGGGAAGTGAGGGGAGCAGAGTTGGTTAGGGTTGAGGATGGTAATTGGGGAGTTAAACAAAATATATGTGAAATGTGGAATGTATAACAA